AATTTAGGAACACATGGATATTATGTTTTAGTCGTATGGTGCACTAAAAAAAATTGTATAGACATTTTTTCTTCTATGAAAAAACCTCAAATTCTCGGTCTCTTTCACACACATGTTGGCTTCAATGATTTATACGTAAAATCCCTATCAAATTATCATTCCTGCCTCCCGGACTCCCGGTCTATTCACTATTCACTCTATTTTAATTTCCATTATATTTCTATGATCAGGACCGAAGGAAAAGTTTCATTTCATTAAAAACCTAAAGGTCGTTATTTGATTTAACCGAATATTTTAAATACATAATTCAGTCGCGACCATTACAACTCTAATTCTTATTTGTTTTTCTTCACAGTTCACATCAAGATCAAATATGTTTAAAAGTGGTTTTATAAAAGTAAGTAAACACYGAAAATAGTATTTAACAATGGTTATATTTTAGTGTATGTGTTTTACTCATCTGATATAAGTAATAAACATTTAGAATTTTAAAATATTGAATGCCATGTGTTAGTTCATTTAATTTATTTGATTTAGCTTAACAAAACCGAACCGCCTAAAGAAAAAACCACAAAGGCATCCAATGWTAGGGGTGTCGTGTATCTTGGACATGTGCCYCATGGTTTCTACGAAAATGAAATGAAACATTATTTTACACAATTTGGTGAAGTCACAAACATTAATATTCCCAAAAGCAAGGTATTTGTCTCACTTTCCATTCAATTCTACGTTTACTTAGATTTGTATTAACATCAATTGAATTATAACYTCGATAATAATTGTAGAAAACAGGTAAAGCAAAGGGATATGCATTTGTCGAGTTTTTATACCCTGAAGTTGCCAAGGTAGTTGCAGAAACCATGAATAACTATTTGATGCATAAGAAAATTCTTGTTGGTAAGAAAACTCATTGGAAAAAATCAAAATATGTAAATTTTTATTTTTAAAAGTGTTATATATTTTTAGCTAAATACCTCGAGCCAAACCAAGTAAAAAGTAACACATTTTGGCGTAGCAACAAGAATAATATTCCTTTAACAATTAAAAATAGGTCGATACAAAGAAAAGCAATGGAAAGACCATTAGACCCTAAAAAAGAAAAACAAAGTAAGATTGCATTAAAAAGACGCATTCAATCTTTACAAAATAAATTGAAAAGCAAAGGAATTGAATATGATGTGCAAGTAAGTTAAATATTTAAAAATATTATATGGTGGACAGAATTGTCTCGTATTATACAGGAATATACCGCATTTCAAAAGTATTTCCTGTTGTCTTTACATAAGCTTCCCTGACTTTAAATTGATCCATTATTTAATAATATGTCTATTTTCATGCATAGAAAAATATGTAAAGAAAATAACACAAAATTAAAAATATAATCTTCATATATCTGTTTTAAATACCAATATTATATACATAATGCATTTGTAGAACAATATTTTTTTTACTTTTCTTTTTAATGGATCTAAAATATTTGCTTTTATATTATTGATAGAACATAGGTATTATAGTTAATACTTTTAAATACTAAAAAGTATTTGTAAAATTGTGATCAAATTTCCATAAAAGATTGTTTTATTATTTTTGTAAAMTACATTATTCAGTTATCATTAAAACATTAAATATTTAGGCATTTCATTAAAAATAGATGTTTAAACATTTATAAAGATTAATTCCCTTATTTTTGTACTTAATATCTAGCCACCCTAAATATTAAATTATAATATTTAGATTAAAATAAAGCTGTTTACGCCGCAAATTACTTATGAATTATGATATTATAAATAAATTGTATAATWTCCTTAGAAATATAGGTCTCCATCTCCACTCGTATTGTTTTTTGTATACAATTTCATCGGTTTTCAATTTAACATACTATCCAACAAAATGGGTGGCTATCTATATAMCACAGGCCTCCCCAGTTTTATTTTACAAAATACTACTGTGACCAGTTACAACATCTCAATAATGGAATATACTTTAAATAATAGAAATCTACATCAGGGAGAATCCCTTAGTTTATTTATTTATGTAAAATACATTTGCAATTTATTCCAACTTTGAATTATATAATTATATTTTTTTATTTACAGATAGAAGGATAGTACACCTGACTGATGCTACATATCTAACCATTTTGAAAGAGTAAGSTAATCATAATAATTATATTCATTGCACAATATTTATGGTTTCTAATTTTCTATTGCTTTATTATTACTTATTGTATATTTGTAACCAAATCATAATAACTAAGGTTCAAGACTTGAGGCATTTGCTTATTTTTTTAGTTTTTTTAGACATTTAATCTAACAGAAAGTTATTGCTATTTGTGACTTGTGTTGTATTACTGCAATTTCAAATATTTATTAATTTTGGAAGTGCTTATCTTTGCATATTTAGGTTATTTTTAGTGATGTGTAAAACAGAACATTGTCAAAGTATCGTAAACCCTAATCTAACCAAACTTAAAATTATTCAAACAAACATCATTTTTAATTTAATATTATTTTATTTTATCATACCTAATCATAATAATATATAAAATAATAGTTAAGAGGACGTCGCACCCGCATGTTTTCTCCGTCTTACACGCGTACAATAAAKCAAATTGTACGCTCAGAAGAACACATGTAGCTCCGTTAGTTTAAAAATTAGAGTGAATTTACCTCTTATAAAATCTATAGGTAAGATTATTATCTAGATAACCTCATAAGCTTTTTGTTATATTTTAATTTTAAAGCGAGTTATGACTATTTCAAGATGTACAAACAATTTACAATGTTAAAATGCTCATAACTCACTTTAAAATAAAAATATAATAAAAAGCTTATGAGGTTRTCTAGATAATAATCTTACCTTTAAATTTTATAAGAGGTAAATTCACTCAAATTTTTAAACTAACGGAGCTACTGCCCGTGTTCTGCTGAGCATACWATTTGATATGTCGTTAGACAGAGACAACATATGCGGGTGAGACGTCCTATTAATAGTTTGATACTATTATGATGCTTACATTTTAATTAACATAAAGTAGAGGATATAAATGTTTTACATTGTGTTCGACTACCTAAGAATATTTTAAAGTTTAATTTTTGAACAATAAAAGTTGCTCAATAGTTGTCTATTCTCGCGCAAATTCCACCACTAAACCTACTTAAATGCTGGTCGCTGCTTTCATCAGTGACGTCGCCACCAAACTAGATGATATAGTGGGAGAAATTTGGGTACAAAACCACAGAACTTGATCATTTGGATGTGAAAATTAGTTGCGCTCTCTCAGTGGCAATAGTATAATTTCCCTTTTTTATTGTATGTTTTCTGCATTGAGACAAATTAAGTAATGGCCAGTAGACAAATTGTAATTGGTTTTTGAAGTCTTGGAATAATATATTCAGTAAAGGTTTGGTTTAAATACTTGGTATTTTATAACTAAATCGGAAAAATGTGGACGTTTTTTTAGTCTATTTTATGATTTTAGATGTCACAAATCCTAGTACTAATCTAACCTAATTACAACTTTGTTTTTGTTCATACAAAAAATATATTGACTATTAATTAATACCGAATTTTATAGTTTTTTAAAGTTGAAAGTTTGTTAAATTTTGGCAGTTCTGAAGTTAAGATTTAATCCCATTAAATTTGTACCAGGGGTTTTGTCAATAGATGAAATATATTTTATTACTTCCTAAGAAATATTGAGAATAAAGTTTTGCAATAAGATGTATATTATTTAATAATACAAAGCAATCGTTCCTCAATACAATTTGTGAGTAATTAGTAATTACTAATTACTAATTAGTATAAGATACATTTAAAACATAAAATCTATACAATAAGGTATCGTCTATATAAAGTGAAGTCTAGACTCCAGAATACTGTAMAATTTGGCATAATACAGTTGCAAGAATGATTCATTGCTTGCAAGAAGTAAAAATATTGTTGCATGATTATTCACCCTTTGTTTCTTTAAAAATACTTATTTAATTTAAGAAAATTTTTATTTTTATTACCACTAAATTATCTTAAAAACTAAATAACTGACACTAAAATGTGATCTACAAACCACCCATAAAAGTAAGTTATTATTAGTAAAATTTATTTTTATTTTTTTATAGATTTAATACAGAATCAACATCATAAAGAGGACTACATCTTTAGTTGAAATCAAAAATAATGATATACAACTAATATTATGTATGTTATGTATGTTTCTTGTACATAAAGATATTTTATATAATACAAAATGATTCATGTTTATACTAATTCACTACACGCTCCTGCCTATTTCCCACTGTTTAATTTAAGTTTTGGTTAGAAGTCTCAACATCTTCTCAGATCTCTTAACACTGGTTTGTAGMTTGATAATATTACATTATTTTCTTGCAGTTGGCAGTATAATTTAACAGGTAGTTACGAATAGTCAAGAGAAGACAATTCAGAAGCAAGTTGTAACACCATTCAAAGTCTTATTTATAGATTAAAATACTCGGAAAACTGTACTAACTACTAATACCTTAACTAATCATATATTAATGTTTTTCTGATTTTTTAACATCCAAAACACCCTCCTGGCCATACACCAGCAATAGTGGGTCATTTTAGAGTAGGGCATTGTATAATCCGCGCACGTTAAGATCATGACCATTTATCCGTCTAAAACCATTCAATATGTTTACCCCCCCACACACACACACTCTTAAATAACGCCACTGGCCTGCGTACATAAAATACCTCACTGCACTCAAATCCATAAGTTTTAACGCTATCTTATCAAAAGATGTCTCATGTTTCTTACAAGATTCTAAAACAACAAATAACTATGAGATAGACTATTAAGACCCTATAAAAATTAAAAGTATTCCTTCTCCATCACAAGATAATAAAAAATTGCGCGACGTGAACGCATGGGTCTTTACACATTTAAAATACATTCTATAAGACTTATACTTATTCCCCAAAATTATTGTAGGTGATTCTTTTGTATACATTATAAAAACAAAACAACATTTGATTGGTTTATTTTTATAGCATGAGTTTATTTAATATTTATACTTTATTGATTACCAACATTTTAGTACTGTATAAAATACAAGTCACTATAGTCAGTACGTTGTATTGAAAATATAACATAAGTGAAAAATAAGCAACACTATTGGATGATTTTGTTATTCCTTGTATTATAACGGATAAACTATTTATGTAGGTACCTATATTACACTCTTAAAAATTATAACTAAATAAATTTATATAATACGATGATAAAATAAAAATTACATTACATAACAAACACTAAACAGTACTTAATATGATAGATACAATGTAATAATGATTGATGAAAATGATAATACTTAAATGACAGAAATTTTATAATTAAAATTATGGGTGAGTTTTCAAAATGGCCAAATAATAAAGATGAAATAAAAAAAGGRGACCTGCGAATAATTTAAGACAGCAAGTAACTAAAATCAAAATCATTAAAAATATCATTCCAAATTTTAGTAAAAGCGGAAGCAACAAGGTCGTTTATAAGTGGTTTCACAACTGGCAAACCAACTCTCCATGAGGCGTTTATAACTCTGTCCAAAACGTTTTCTGTTTAAAAAAAAAAAGTATTATTACATCATTTTTGAGAGGAAAATTATTAAATTAGTATATACAAAGCTAGAATACATCTATAACTCACTATAAGTATCTTAAAATATAAAAATTAGGCAGTGAATTAAAATTATGTTTTTGGAATTAAGATTGTGCATAGCTCAGTTCATTGCATAGGTAACAAAATGAAGTAAGCGGCATACATAATTACATTGAGTAGTAGCCAATAAGTACCTACCTATATAATATACTCAATATGTACAAGGTTCAATAAGTTGGAGAAAAAATCCTATAATTGGATGTGTAGAATTTTAAAATCGTTTAGGTACATATAGGATAGGTCCCAATCGGTTAGAGTTAATTCTTAAATTACAAACATTATTTTCAGGACTAACCTCTTAGGTTAATTATACCCTTAGATCATATAGAATATTAATCTAATTATATTATTACGTTTATATGGTGGCGCTAAAACGATCACACTATGTAGTTTGAAAATTTCAAACCGTTTTAACGCCATTCTATAAACTTAGGTTTGGGAAGTTCCTTAGATATATATGTAGGTACTAACATATCTAATATTTATTTTTTTAGTTGAAAATTTGAAATAGGAAATACATTAAAAATAATGATACAGTTAATATACAAATGATTTAAAGATTGAATTATTGTTTTGAATATTAAAAAACAAATAAATAAATATATTTTTTAATTCATGTATTGTTTTCATATCTCAATCTCATTGACAAAATTACAAGATCAATCGTAAAATAATTTTAAAATGGTCTTAACTGACTTTGCAACRTATCGGTATTGTAAAAATAAATTATTTTTGAATTACATACTAACAAAAAAAATTATTATTATTATTGGATGCTATAAATAATGATGTATTATATTGTATTTGTGTATAACATTATAGCGTATATAGTCATCACTAGCCGTGTAAGCCATTTTTAGACATTACTAGTGGCGCGTATCTATATGGAAGAGGTAGTAACCCCCGCCCAAAAAAAAAAAATGAATTTCAACCTCTCGCCTCTTCCCACAACAAGAACATTTTTTAAATACTCCACTGAGCATTRCTATATTTTAGTAATTAATAAAATTATCTGAATTTATAACAAAAAATGTTATCGTCACTCGTCTATCTTTGTTCTGTATTGTAGTATTTTTAGGGCCGTTCTAATGTCCGGTTTAAGTTAATGGACACTTAACCGGACATCGTAAGAATGGCTTACATAAATAACCATTTAACTATAATACTATATAAAAAATAACAATAAGGAGAGGGAGGGCTATAACAATTCCGTGAATATCATTCCAAWTAAATTTTTTCCCGAAAATCACTAATCTCTTTACCTACCTAATTATTTTCCTGGTTTATATTAATATATTTTGAAAGTAGAAAGCCCAAAAGCTAAAAGGTTTTACGTTGTATTATTCAATTTATACTTTAGCATTAGCACAACATTAATCAGCAGCTTATCAGGAAATGACAATAATTTTAAAACGGTTTTAATTTTTATAAATATACAATAATTAATGATTAAGCATATTAAAACTTAAAATAATTTACCTATATAATTGTAGGTACCTATGACTTATAAAAATACTTACCGACGATTACTCTTCCTCGCAAAAGGTTGCTAATATGCAGGGACATGTTTCCAATTTCTTCTAACTGTACAGATACTTTAATTTGATTTGTATTTTTTGGTTTGCTTATCGTCATTGTTTGGATGTAATCGTCTAAACAAATTATTTACGAGACAAAACATKTCAGGTATATTATTTATTATTAATATCAACATAATAGCTAGGCACGCACGTTAAAAGATAAATATATATAATATATATGTATATTTATCAAGGATCAGCTGTTACGAAATATTGCAGTCATATTAAAAATTGATCATTAAAATTCTTACATAAAGTCATATTGAATCTGCCAATCGTCGTAACTCCAGGTCGCAGTATCGTATTCTCTGCTTCGTAGTAACCTTCTAAATACTTCTCGGGGAAATAATGTGTAAGTTTAATTGTATTCGTATTGAAGTTAGTTCTAAAAAAAAATTTGCATTTTTAGAAAAATGTATTCTTAAAACATTTATTTTTTTACTCTATAACAATGGGTTACTTGAATTTTTTTATTTCTGAAAGTCTCCATCCAGTTTCAGTAACGTTATATAAAGTTAATTTGTAACCAAATACACCAGCTCCTTTACTTTGTTTAACTTCGCTGGCGAAAAACGGATCAAATGGAGAAATTCCAAGTTCTGGTACACCTATATCGAATTTATGTATTATATTAGGTATCCTAAATACTTATGTATCGGTTTAATATTTGTGTGAATTTTAAGTGTTTATTTATATACCTAATATAGGTACATATTGCACTGTGTCTAATAGTGGCAGTGTTTTACACTAAAGGGAGTTTAACCAATAAAATTCAGTTTCATTGATTTCGTTATAATTTTGGAAATCTGATAAAATTGAATAGCTAAACATCTGCAATTTAATACCTATATATAATATGAATATATACATTTATATATATATAGCAGTTTAAGTATCATAACCTCATACTCATTGTTTCTCGTTATTTATTTTTTATTTTTTTTATTAAGATTAAAATGTCCTAATATAAACCCCACACTGAAGATTTATGATTAGATATATACGCCACAACAACCTATAGGTATATTATAKGCAATTTCTGGTAACTATAGTATCATATTTTTAGATTAAATAAGTCATTAAATGATAAATTCTGCATTTATAATAAAAAAATTAGTTTTTAGAAGAATATTATATTCCAAATTCCAACCCGTAACATGTAAAAGTAATGTCGTTACGGTATTACAAGTATAACTAGCCGCCACTGAGTATAAGGTACTTTACTATGGCTGCAATACGATTGCGTGCGGTCCTTATCAACGGTACCTTTTTAGGTGTACGATTGCGCATGCTAAATTATTTTTGCTTCTAAGCAACGTTTCCAAATATAGATACAGATTATAAGTGCATGGTAAATATCCGAACTTTTTAGGTAGACTAAGTGTGAACATAAAGTATCTGTTATTTTTTGTAACTATTTGTACTATTTATAACTTTTTGTACTATTTTTGACTGATTCATTGACACGTGATGCCACGTTTATAATGTTATTAGAAATAAATACAATAACAACATATACGACAAATAACAAATTTTTTTAACATTTTTTTAATAATAATAATTATTTTAAATTTTAATAATAAATTGGCAACGTYGCAYCCAATTTCACGCGCAATCGTACGCTTTTGAATAGTCAAAAGCATGTTCTTTGTTATTCCGGCACCGCGCGCAATCGTATGCCCAAAGAGTAAACTCCACCGTTTACTATACTTAATAGTTAAAACTTATAATGCATAACCTAACCTTCATTATTCTACTACCTACCTATATAGTATTATACTCAACACTGCACATTTATACATGTCAATTAACTTTTCGTTAAATTATTTATACCCACAATACAGAGTGTCCCGTGAGGATATATCCATTAGCCATAGAGGCGGGGACACGCCGCCCGGATAAAAAACAGTTTTAGCCATTTTATCTATAAACTAAAAAAATTATTAAAAATCATGTGGTTAATGAAAATAAAATGTCGAAAGGTCAAAATTTTCAGCAAAATAATCTATAAAATAGGTATCTTTATTTTTTCTAGAATTAAAAATAAAATTCATGTAGCCCTTGTCTATGAGAGTGAAATTAAAAATAAAAAAACAACTGATATATGATATATTTATTATCTCAGGAGATATAGCAATGGGGTATATCATCGCAGGGCACTCGGTATATTATMTTCAATGAATGCAATTATTATATAAAATATAAAATTATAATATAAAATACCTGTTGTAAAATATGGTCTGACATTATTGATTGCATTCTTTATACACTCGTCAAATTCTACTGTATGTGTTTTGCACTGAGAAAAATATTTA